GGAACTGGGGCCCTGGTCTTGGGGGGGGGCAAACCGGAAATATTTTATATCCCTCATTCTTCGCAAGGGTTTGAATGCGACAGGCACGCGAGCAAGCAAGAAAAAAGTACCTTGATTTGATCAATTAATTGATGTAAGAATCCGTATGTAAGTCAGAGTGAACCATTGGAAGTTTACGAGTTTGCCGCCACCTTTCGTTTTCCAAGCTCAGCTTTCTCGAACTGCCTGCAGAGACTGGTTTGATCGCTCTCCCCGATGAGATGAGATGAGATGAAGTCAGAATATTCTGACCATGATGTTCCAAATTTCGATTTTTCTCAGGCACTGTTTAGTTGTGTAGTACAACCTCAACACATCTTATTCTAGGCGTCTTCTAGGCGTTCAAGCCTATTAGGCCAAGCAGCCATGACCTAAAAATGAGAGAGTCGAGTGCTATCTAGGTTATACGTAGGCTACGCCAGCGCCGGTCAATCCGACACGACAATCGACGAAACGAAGAACAAAAATTTATCTCACTACTGCATGGAAGAAAGTCTTGACAGATTGCAGACATTGTGTTCTTCCAATAACAATCGAGCAAAGAATGATTAGTTTCTCAGCTGCTTCCCAATCTCATTACTTCTTGGGGAATTGATTTGATGGGTGCACGAGCATACAAACCACTACAAAAGCTAGGTGCAAAATTAAGCGACAATGAAGGGGAAATCCTTGGAACCGTTGGTTAATGTTTCCAATTTCCTCCGACGCCAATCTGCACCTCCACGGACCTTATGGTACGAAATTTATAGGCCAATGGACTTGTTTAGACACCCCCACGAAAGTATGGTTGATTTTCAACAACATGATTCGTGTTCACACATAGTGTTTTTTCGAATTATCTAGTTTACACAGCAAATGTCTTGACGGGTGAAGATTTTGGAGTGTGAGAAGTCATTGAATACGGTAGGGCGCAAAACTACCAGGAAAGACCTTACAAAACTTGTTAAATCGTGCTTTGATCTAAAATTCCCGAAGTCGGCAGCGGGATGGGCTGCAGGTGGAGCTAATTGAAGGGTGTATCGTTTCCAATTTACATTTCAATTCACATCTGTAATGAAAAGTCAAACAATTCAAATCAAATGCCGTCTCAACACGCTTTTCGTCCCTTCTTCGGACCAAAGTCAATTTTTTCTTGGTGCTTTCGGTTGATGTTGCTCTCACTCTGCCCCCAAGTATCCCTTATGGGATTGGTTTCAAAAGATTTTTTTTATATGGAGATCAAACGACATGAAATCTTAGATTCATTTATTCATACAGGAAATCCTAGACAATAGGAAAGAATGAGTTGATACCAAGAGAAACATCAAATGGCATCCATGGAATGAGCGGATATCGTCCTATTGAGCAGCTCAATTCTCATTGCGACAAGTGTCTCGATCACATCCCAAATTCAGAATTCAAAACACAAAAAAAAGATCAAACGAGGTACCAATGTTCAATGTAGGTTTTGACACATTCGAAAATATTCCAATTTTCTGAAATAACATCAATATCAAACTCCCAACAAAACACATTACTCAAGGGGTTTGACTTTCGTCTGAAATTCACCCCGCCATATAGTTTTGACCCCATCATTGTGAAGCTTCCAAGAAAGGGGTCTGTCTGTATGCTTGGCTTGAATTGTCCCATACATGTTGAAACGAAAAATGAATATCTGTGGCAATTTGGCGAAATATAAATTTCAAATATCATGGATTGGTTTGTCGTTTCACTGGTATTTTCAATCGGAATTCTAAAGCACGGTAATAGCACCAAATCACGCGGTTTTAAAAATCTAAACGATCCTCAGACATACCAAGCATACTCTCCAAACATTTTGATATACGGTAGGGCATTTCCTTCACGGTCGAGGTCAAGATGGAGGGCGATTGTTCGTGCGCACGGGAAGATCTGTATATGATATGCAAATCATCTCAGGAGTCAGTTGATTTTAGCGACCGAGCTACAAGCTCGGTCCTCTTTCATGGACGAAGGAAAAATATACTGGGTGTTTCATGTTTTCTTGGAGTGGAAGAAGAAAGAAGCGATTGTGTTAGGGCTGGAGGTGGCGTTGGGAGTCAGCATCTGTGGTTTGGGAGTTGCTTTATTGGGGTTTGATAAGGTGAGGCTCTATTCGAGAGGTGGAGGATTGAGATTGAGGATGTGATATTGGGATGTGGTCTATGGGTGTGGTCTATGGTCTATAGTTGAATGGCTGATGGTAGGTGATAATCAGTTGTTCCAGTGCCAGAGTCGTTGAGAATGAGAATTGTTCGTAGTTAGAAGAAATGGTTGAATCTAGAAAGTCAATAAAATATATCGTAATTGCTGCTTTGATCAAGTTGAGAGTTTTTTTCTTACTTTGATATTAAAAACTTTTTATTTCCACAACCAATATCTAAACCATATCACGAATTGAAACTTCTGAATCAACACATCATATTAATTATAATGATTCAATTCTAACCCTTAATTCTCGATACCCGTACATCCTTATGAACTGTCGTTGAAATGCAGTCCGAAAAGAAAGTATTGATTACGTGAGTTTTTGTTACACAAAAATGACCCGCATCTCAATAAGTGAATGGCAATTACCGAAAGAGGAAATTTCAACTTCCAAATCTGAAATTTTGAGGATTTGATAAGCATCAAATGCTTTGAATTTGTCTTTGTTGTCCGTGGAATAATTGTTCCTCAGATATCTTCATCTGACTGTGATAATTCGTGTATTCTTTCTTGTAACGTGAAAGGGCAAGATTATTACCCCTCTTTTGTGAAATTCCCTCATTTTTGCCTCAAAGACATAGAATTCAAGTTTTATATCCCTCACCATGATGGATGCCACACAGCTTATAGATACAGATGGTCCCAAAGTCAATGTACATAAGAATTGGAATATCCCAGGTAAAATTCACTGGAAAGCCACCGAATTTCCCTTCAAAGAAAGTCCGGTGGGAAGCAAATCCTCAACGTCAACTCATCCTCCATCGGCCACAACTATCAACTGTAAAGAGGGAGGACCAAAACAAAAGTTCGCATTTGTCGATTTATCATCTTCTGGAACAAAAACAGATGTTAATGTACGAAAGTTCGTGCGCAAGCATGTGAGGAATGATTTCCTAAGCAAAACGATTCGGAAAAGTAAAGGGGATCCGAAACTCCGTTCGAAATGTATAAAACCTTTCGTGGAACCCAAGTCAGTCATATCTGATCATCACCAACATGATGGTCTTATTATTGAGAATCTCATCGGGTTTCCGACTGCACTCAGCTTGTCTCCATGGCCTATTGAGATGACGACAAGAACGCACCGGTTGCTGAGCCGATATTTTACGCATGTTAGTTCGAGAATGTACCCATTATCCAAATATCTTTCTTCCAATCCTCTACGTTCAGATGAATGGTTTCGTTTTACAATCAACGATACAGCGATGTTTCATGCGATATTATATGCTGGCGCAATCTATCTCTCCTTGCTTCAAGGTGGGAAGGACTCGGAAGATTCAGTGTACCACCTTGGCAAAACCTTGGAAATAGTCCAGGAAAAACTTCAGAATGGGGAACCAGCAGACGACAGCACTATTGCTGCTTTGTCCTGTATAGCTTTGGGTGAAGTATGTTAAATTTCGATGTCAAATTTTGCTATGTGATTATTTGATGTTTACTAAACTTCCACTTAGGCAAATACAGGCCATTCAGATTTATGGCATATTCACATGCGTGGTATACAACAAATGATAAACACGCGAGGCACGATGTCGTCTCTTCCTATGATTATCCAGACAAAACTTCGTCGGTAGGTAATTTACTAAAATATAGAAAAACCTCATTCTAATTGTCTTCAAGGTCTGACATCACTGGTGCGATTGATTATGCTGCTGAGCCATATCTTTACTACAAGCCACGAAATCATCCTGAAATATCAATATCTAAAATTCTACCGGTGCATAGAATCAGCACCATCAATGCTTGCATTGAAATTTCACTCGCTAGATGCGGTATTCGCTCAAATCTCATACGGATAATGCAATATCTAGCTATCTTCTACCAGTCCATACAGTTCGCCTCATTAAGCAGAATTCTTCTCGACCCAGGAGATTTTCTTGATGATATTTACTGGATTGAGTATGAATTATTATCATTTCCCTGTCTCTAGAGGAGACCAAGAACCTACTATCGTCAAAGCAACTCGTATCGGAGCTCTACTATTCATGAAGTCGATACTTGAAGAATACCCACATTCCTCTACTGGTCCTTCTATCCTTTTACAACAATTACAAGAATCTCTGTCCACAATTGATACCGCTACAACCACAAAACAAACATGTCAATGGCTGATTTGGTTATTTACTATTGGCGCTGTTCATTCAAAGCGGAATCATATTACACGAACTTGGTTTGTGGAGCAATTGGCGGGGTTGCATATGGAGCGCCTGAGAGATTTACTAGTTGACGGGCAAGTACATGCAGAGCTACATGCAGAGAAGTTAGAAGAAGAAGAAGAAGAAGAAGAAGAAGAAGACGAAGGAGAACTTCAATTGTGGAGATTATTGGAGCTGAGACAAGTTATTGGAGAGACAGATCTCTTCCTACTTTGGGATGATGTTGCTCGGTGGAGACGAGAATCTTACGGTTTGGGGAAGGGATTGAAGATTCCGGGCTTGGTGATTTCTTGGGGCTGGGCTGGCTACTGACGGATGGTACGCTACCAAGTTATCTTAGGATACATGCATATCTGCAAACATCACCACTACTCATGTACCTCCTGGGACAAATCAGACCGACTCAAATGATGTCGTATGACAGGGAAAATATGGAGATAGTTCGGGGAGGTAGCACATAACACGAATCAGCCCTGTCCACACTAAGAAGATTCTATGGCTTCCAAGATCCTTCTAGACTATTACCCAAACGAGTCAATTAATATAATTCAGATATCAAGAGAAACCAAATCCGCAAGTCTACGTGGCGAATTTTGAACGATGGGTCGTTCGTTCGCCTCAAACTTCAAAGTCAATTTCAGTTCCGCGGTTTGTGGTTTCTGGTGGAGAATTTTGTATGTATGTAGGGACATAGCTTATACATACCCGGGGATTGCTATAGGCCATCCAATCATTTCAACTGTAGCGTTACAGCGTCACAAGCAGTTTAGAGTGGTTTGCCGGTATTGATTTATCGGAAGATGCCTCAAAGACTCCATATATTTTCCATCGGAGAAACACAAAGAATTGACCGATCGTATGTGCCGTTCTTACCGCGTGGAAGAACTTCTTTTCAATGAGGGATTTACTGGGATATAATCTTTTGCAGTGAGATTTACAAATGTGGGCTGGGAGCCGATCGTTCCGATTTCTTGCTGTGATTCGTGAGACGGGAGTGAGACGCGTCGATAGAGAGTGCTTTCCATGTTGGGTTACGCGACAGGATTGAAAGATTTATTTCGCCGTCATATGGAATGGAGGGTAATAGTAGAAGGCCCGGTTTTTGGCAGAACCAGTAGGAAATATACCTCAGTGGGTACAAATGTGCGAAGCTGGAATTAGATAGATGGATAGATGAATGTGTGTGTTAGTCAAATTGGAAATGGATTCCAAGAAGATGGTCTAGATTTTAGAATATCGCGACAAGAAGGGGTGAGGAATTGCCGGATGGTACTCTACATCGTATAATTGCTTGGTCGACGCTGTCGATTGCAATTCCGCTTGCAAGCAACTCCGTTACCGCTAAATGAAGGAGTGTTCGACAATCTCTGGGCACATCCACAAGTAAGGTCTCCTGAGTAGCGAGACTTTGATGGGAAAATCCTGTTGAAGCCAACTTCATGATGCAAAAGCTAGGCTGCGTCGGCGACATTTGCATCAATTCCTTATTTCGGCCCAAGGCTAGAGAATGTTGATAAACTGCTCTCACTGCCACTGCCACTGGCATATCGACCGGTATTGGCATGCGGTACCGACAGTACAAGTGTTCGAACTTTATTCTCTATTCCGGTGATGCTGCTAGGATCTCACTCCGATCACTTCGCACGTAGGCAATAAGCCAAACTCTGGATTGGAGAATGAAGATCTCATCAATGATAACATTGGCGTTGGCCTAATATCCCGGAATTGACAATTGGGTTGAAAGTCGATTTTTAGGCCATTATGGTTCTTCTCGTTGATGACAGCTGGATTCGAAATGGACACGGTATGGAAGGAAGAGCATTTTGTTGCGATGATATTGGCTCTTTTGATAAGTGCCGTTTCTTCTGAGATAGCCCGGCTCTATTTATTCGTTCTTCGTGGTTATTAGGTGCTGGTTTAAAGTATTAGGTATCAAGTAGTATGTACGGAGAGCAAGATACTTTGTACTTTCAATAATATTTTCCCTGTACCTAAAGTTTTCTCTCAACAAGGTCTTCGCTCTGAGATCTACAACTTCACGGGTGTTGATGTATACTATGTACGGAGAGGAATATACACTGTGCTAGTAGAAATGCCTTATCTACTACGAACCTAACAATTTTCTTTCACCACGTGTACTTGCATTCGATTACTTTCAGCTCTCCAGACATATTTTTGGCCTAAACTATCGCGTACTAGATAAGAGAGAGGAATACATACTGTACTCGCAAACTTTAAACCTCATCCTGCTAGCATCATGAGGTTGAGGGATCGCCAAAGCCAACTCATATTCAGCTTTATCTTTGGACAGGCTGCCCACGAGACTCACCCCGCGCCTTTGAATTAAGCTTGACGTTGATCACCCCAAGTATCATTTCACCTTTTCTATTTTTAATCCATTGTGCGGAAAATTAAGCTCATGAGTATACTTGGCATCGACTTGGCTTAAAACGGTGTCGATTTAATCATGCATATTGATATTGTTGTTGACGTCAACATGAAATTTCTTCTTTTGGATACACGTCAGTAGCGTATTTCTCTCGCTGTTTTAGGAATTCGACAGCTTATCCAATCCGGGGGATCGACACATCACCTCTGTTTTAGTGTTGATTTGGTCTTCCTCCTTCTTGGAGTCTTCTCGGAATACCGTATAGTAGAGGGAATCAATAGTATTTTGATCGGTTTGGGTTTTTGAGGCACTAGGTAATTTGCAGGCAAGAGAATGACTCACTCAGAGATGGACTCTTTTTTTAGCTCTGCGACTGGGATTTTATCGTTATTGTCCTATTAGTTTGAGTATTTTCCTGATTACCTTGTAGTTGAATGGTCAAATTGATGGGTTAGGTGACTTGTACAGTTGTGGTAAAGATCGCTTTTTTAGAGCCTGCTCGTAGTTAATAAGCAAGAAATTTCCGATGACATCTGACATCTAGACTAGTTTAGTTGCATTGTCAACTTGGCTCTAGTAGATCTGGGTTTCACAAGATTGATTGGTCATTAATTCTTTACTAAAGAGGCAATGATGTGGTGTACATCCGGGGAAGTTATATCATATACCGGGATTTATAGACTAAAGAGTATTCTATCAATCTAGGAACACTTTTATATGCGATGATGAGGTTTCGGTTAGAATATGATTTGGTGTGCTACTAGGCTTTAAATGGTGGTTGCGACTCTGGGAACATAGTCTGGTCAGAGTAGCACTTGTAATGAAATCATTATCCTTCACGTCTATAACAAGTCCATCTGTGCCCGGAAACCCAAGAGTATCTATTGCGCCATCTGCGCTAGAAAATACCAAACTTTCTATTCTTGAGCCGGCCGGAGGGAGAAACCTGTAGTGTAATAGATGGAAGCACATTGCCATCTTTCCTTTGAGGATAGACCGACTTGTTTTTACAAGTAGAATGTAGGCGACATAGTCACTCTTCCCATCTAGATCTATTGAAATTCCAAATATGATTGTGATCACAACTTTCCTTGTTGATTATATGAGTCATCTCGTGGTTGTCGAGAGTTAGGTTTGTTATATGTCTACATCAGTAAAGTTGGAAATGAAAGAGTAGTTCTGGTGACGATGTAGAAGTCAAAGGTAGATTTAGTAATCTTTACCTTCATTCACATTTACAACCGAGAGCTTCCATTCATGCCATTGCTTTGAGTGGGCTTAGAATGAAATACTCTGTATTTTCTTCTACACTCCTGACTTTGTACTGCTTGTCTGAATGTATCTGTAAATGATTAGCTCCACGGGTTGGAGAAATGAGTTTGTTGCACATCTCTGTGTGCCGCAGTTCCAAAGTTTGCGGTAGTGCAATACAGTAAAGGAGATGGAGGTGGGTATTAAAATTCATTGCCATCTATAGATGTGGTATTTTAATTAACTTGGATAGATACTCTACGAATATTTCCTTAACCACTACAGGTCATGAAAATCAAATAGCATGTTGAAATCTTTATTACGTTATATTCCACGTGTTCAATCTTTCATTGTTGTCCACTGGTTACTAACTCTGTTGCACATTCTGGCAGGTTGGAAGGATATCATGTTGCATGTTTCTTCTGGTTTGTGTGTCAAAAGAAATGTTTGAGAAGATTTCTATTACACGTTTCTTGTTGACCATTCGTCATGATAACTCCCTGTCGCATATCTCATCCCAACTATTTGTTAAAACAACATTTTCTTCCTCGAAATGGGAAGATATATGTAATGGGAAATTGGGATATCTTCCTGTTACAAATCTACTTTCAATCGTCTCTCACAGAAACTACTTGCGGTTGCATTTGCTGCACATCTCATCTTGATTATCTGTCAAAAGAATCGTCTAGAGGCTGAGCGACATGGTAGGAGGAACAGCACTTCATAATTCCTAGTATACAGCGTGGCTCTTTAACGACACTTATCTATCTGGTATAGCTTACCAAACACTCCCTCATCTTGTATATCCAGCTTGATACGAACATGATATTTGGCGTTTATATCTGCTCTTCACTTTATAAATTGCATTCAGTTGACTGGCTGACAAGTTTTTATCTCTATAGTATACTTATATCTGCGTGTATGAGTGATGAGAAACAATGTTTCTTCTGTGCACGAGTTAGATATGAGTCTATTAAGATAATGGGGATCTTTTGATCAATCTCTATATAATCGATTTGATTTACCTACCTGAATGTTGAAATATACATACCTAGGTATCTTGAGTGTATATCCACCCTTTTATGTGAATCAGTCTTAGATAGATGATTACATCAATGTCCCTCTTGATTATCTCTATTTTGTAGACTATGAACTGATGTACCTCTTAAATTCAACTCATCTAGCTTCAGTCCCTCCAACCTAGCTTACTAGCAAATATCTTTCTTTGCATATCGCACTCAATATGAACATACGCAGTTCGTCAATCATCGCGGCTCTCCCCCATCTCTTTCCAGCTTCCCTGTATCTAGTCTACTCCACTGAACAAATGTCTGACATTGATATCGGAAGTTTCCTTTGGCTTAGCTATCAAAGTTGACACAGTAAAAGTTCATGCAAACGCATGGTTTTCTTTGCTATATATCTGAAATTGAGCAACAAACCTTAACAGCGTGTATAGTTATAGGAGTAAAACCTCAGTATGGGATGTATACAAAGCAGATACAACCTCTTTCACGATTGTAGTTGCTCTAGCTGACTTCATTCTTTGATCTTATCCATGGTAATTGGCAAAGGTAACAGGTATTAATAATCCTTGAGTGTCCTAGCAAGAGTCATTCAAAAAAAAAAGTAGAGATAGGGATAAGAAAGTTCCGTCTTCTTGAATATCAAAGCGAATTAAGTATTTTCAGTTTGGCATGGGGTTTGTTGAGCGTTGGTATCTCGGGGGTAGGGGGTATCTGCATGCTTTCGATGATGTTATCCTAATTTAATCCTTCCACTCTCTCAATAGCTTGCGCCTGGACAGTTTTCATGCAATCAGCTATTGATCTCTCTTTGGCAATTTCTTGTTCGCCTTTCGGGCTTCCGCTGCACTGCTCTTCCCTCCCGCCCTCCACTCACGCCGTCTCCCCCTCTCCTCATCCGTATCACCATCCTCTCCTTCTTCATCTTGATCTCCTGCATCTTGTGCCTCCTGGCTACCCTGTTCATCTTCTCCTTGTTCCTCTGGCGCTTCATCTGACACTGCTTCTCTGCCTCCGTCATCATCGTCATCGTCATCGTCATCTTCCTCATCTCCCCCTTCTTCCTCCGAGTCCGTGTCACTATCTGGCATCTCAACTTGCCTGGGATCCGGATGATATCCTACCCACTGTCTCAAATATTCCTTCACATGTCTTACAAAGAACACTCGACCGCCAGGCTGGCCTCTAGGCGGAAATACCTCACTCATCTTCTTGGTGAGAAACTTTCTACTAGTTCTACTGTCCTTCCAATACCTTCCCTCATCGTGTCTTTCTTGAAGTAAATCCTGAAGATGATTTTTTTCTGCCTGCGTCCATGTTCTAGCCGGCTTTTTATGTGGCATTTTGAGACGTGTTGTGAAGTTACTGTGAGATTGCGATTGATTGGGCAATCAGATGAGATGACGAGCTTTAACAGCGATAATGATGTGGTTGAAATAGTGATGGCAGGATAAAGACAACTCTAGGAACAAGCCGGAAATCGTGCTGGCTTACCAGACGACAGTGGAGAGTTCTCCATTCATTCCAAATGTACATTTTAGTGTTCTTTGGACCATAGTGCTGCGATTATTTGATGAATTTCGGGCAATGTGTAATGAATGACCTAATTGTTACGAATGATGCTTTGTGTCCCCCATTTTTGAATGCTGAAGAAGTGAGTCGATTTGGGGGTTTCTCTTTATCACACAATATATCTGGTATGAATTGATAAAAGAGGCGATCGAAGCGAGGGTATTGAGAGGGGATATTAGAGAATGGCACTAAGAGAAGAGGGGAGACTAGAACTCTGTTTTCCCATGGATTATCTTTATCTCTTGAGGCAAGTTAGCCAGGATATCATAGCTGTCACTTCAGTTCAGTTCTCCCATTTCTTCATCCTGAGTTTTCCGTCTATTCATCTATTTTGTTCTCGTCGTTCCTCTATCATCTTACTCCTAATCCACATTTTTTTTTTCAACTCTATATTGAGATATTCTTCCTCGTCTTCCCCTGGACTCTTGACCCCCCTGTTTCATCTCCTCATGTAAACTTTTCTTTCGATCAAGCAGTATAACGATCGATTTGGCTAATTGAACGAGCTCTTCCTTTTCTTTTTGCTTCGCATTAGCTTCTGCATGCAACATCAGACTGGGCTTCGAGCTTAGATCTCCTCCGGGCTAACTATCAAGAGTCACCTCCTACAAGGGGTACGTGCGATTACTCATTTTGGGATGTGATCCATGCAACTTGCACATGAACAATACTTAGCTATGCATCTGGACTCAATATCACCGTCGGATGTCACAAACGAGTGCCAACAAAAAAAACGCCAAAAGTATGGACTTGCAATGCAGAAACTCATTCCGTTGGAATTTGCAGCATACCCTCCGTGGTCGGTTCATGCACTTTGAGCTAAAGGACTTTCAGGAAGGTCAAATGAACTGATCGTAGAGACTACGGCTCGCTCACACTACTGAGGCAGATATGACTTACAATATTACATGATGGGAGGCTGGATCGACCTACCAACGGCGTTTAACTATTTTCTCTGGCCTCAAATTCAAGTCCCCGCCCATAAAAGGGGCGCCAGAATTTTTGAAGTCTTTCTCCTCTCATCTTCCACCATTTCCAAACGTTCTCGACAGACCTTGAAGTCTACAAACAGAAAGTGGTACTTGTTTAAACTCAGATACTACCGTCGACAGGTCTGCTTTCTGCTTCTACACATACTGAACAAGCACTATGCTTTCTTCAAAGGCTTTTCTAAGCTGTATCGCTCTTGGTACTGTTGTTTGTGGCGCCCCGGTTGTTAACGGCAAGTCTCCAACTCTCTAACTCTCTATTGTCTGCATCCATCTAATTTGACGTAGAACGAGCCATCAGCGTTGGAATTATAGAAAACGAAGCCATCGTGGAAGGCTTTAACGAAGACCTCACGCACAAGACGGGTCGACGCTCGGGTGTCTACGCGAGTATCACCGGAAATGAAACCATCGTAGAAGGATTCACCGAAGATCTCATACGCAAGCAGGGGCAGCATGTGAGTCTGATTGGGAATGAAGCGATTGTTGAGGGATTTAATGAAGACTTGATTCGAAAAGAATGAGTAGCCACGTACAAGAGGTTCCGAGTCAGAGTCTAGATTGTGGTAGTGGCTGTACATATACAATTCCGTCTCAGAGATATAGTCTTCTCCAAGTAGATAATTCATATGCTGTTGCAATATGCATCATGGGCTCATTATCCTCAGCCTTCATCCCTCTGTCTGAAACTACCACGAGAGTATCATACTACCAGCATTCAGTATATCTTTTTAGGTATCCAATATCCAATCGCTGGTAGAAAGAAGTTTCCATTCTGGTGTGCACTACACACAATGTTGTCTCAGAGCCTCTTTTATCGTAATCATTTATCCTTTTCCTCTCTCTTTCTCTTCCATCGCTTCAACATCTTTTTCAATTTGCGGAAAAAACTTATACCCATTTTCCATACACAAAAACCATCTACAAAAGCCTCGACACAGTCATTTTCTCGTAAGCTCTCAACCATATGAATAGTATGGTGAAAAAGACATGACCCCAAAGAGTCTTTGGTACTGATTTTCTTCCTGACTAAAAAACATCGTGATCTTAGCATACTCTTTCATCTAAGCATCGGTATTACACAGAGAATCTTCCATGTGAAGATACCCTGAGGATAGATAATGACCTTTTACCCTCCCACTCCCTCTAGACACCCACCCACAAAACCATATCTATTCCCATAGAAAACTCTCGCACGCACTAAGATAACTTCATTCCAATTCCAACCAGCCATTTTCCAATCCCAATCTCAAATCATAGCCAGTCCAGTGAATCTAATCAATATACCCCACCTACCACCCCAAATCTCTCCAAAAAAAAAAAAAAGATCACACCCTGATTTCCTCACCCAACACCTCAAAAACTTCAAGCAAAATACTCACAAACAAAACCAAAAACAAATGATTAACGGAGAGGAGGTATTGAACCACACCCGATTTGAACGGATAACCTTTCGATCTGGAGTCGAACGCGCTACCGTTGCGCCAGCGGTCCTTAATCATGTGACTATTATAAGTTGAGCTTTTGTTTGCGTATATATCCCTAGATTTGTGGGGGGCTTCACTGGGTTTATACTTCAACGTCTCGGCTTTGCATTATGTGGTGGGTGAAGGGAATACTTGGCAAGCAATACATAATTGATTAAATGAAGCGATTGGGTAGAAATAAAATGTCATGGAAGAAGAAGAAAATACTAGATGGGGATGTAATGGAAGCGCTCCGCGAGGAACCGTGAGCTCGCTGGAGGATTGGTTTGGTCCACGTCAGATCTCGAGTTCTGTCGTTTCGTTCATATTTGCAGATATATAACGTCGAACGTATCACTTCACCGGAAACGCAAAAGAATAAGCCAGTATACATGATCAGTACCAAGGTAAAAATAAATGGATGTATATTTTCAAAAGATTCAGCATTACACTGCCAGAGCGAATGATTGTGGTTGAGAGAAACCAAATCGATCGTACCTATCCTACTCAGTCTTAACACACACATCTGCATCGCAATTCTTGCTATCTTCCATGAAAATACCGCCAAAGATCAATCCCTCATTAATACCAGTTTCCTGGAATCCATTCTTGGAAATATCTGCACCAGCGGCAAAATCTGTTGGCTTCTTCAATAAACCGAAGTGATATTGACCTTGTCCAGAAATATCATTGGTTAAAGCTTCAGTGACCGATTCAAGAGCCTTGGAAGAGGTAGAGTAGAATACTTGGGTTGTACTGATTCAAGGTTAGCTGGACATATTTATTGAAAACAAGAGCGGAAAACAAACTTGGCGGTAAAATCCAATTTCAACCCAAAGTTGTGCCATCCATCGGTAAAAGCAGTGGTGAAAAGTTCGGTTGCTCCCTCATTCACATTTCCGACGACTCTCAAAACATTTGGATCTGTGTTGTTTGTGTCCAAAATGGTACCCGTCTTCAACACAAATTGGTTGGTGCTGAAATCTGCACTTTCGAGGAAGGCAATTTGATACTCGTGGCTGAGATTCAATGGACGAGAAGCATCCTTCATGATGGAGAAATGAAGAGTTTTAATGCCTGTGGTGGAAGCATCAGTGCCATTGTTGGATAATGGCATCAATTCAGCACGACGGAATCCAACTTGGACGTTTGTCGAGGAGGGAGCAAAGATGGAGGCATCAGAGAGGGTGACCTCGAAGGGTGTAGTTGAATTTCCATCATACTGAGAAATCATTAGGCGTGTAACCAGTATAGCACACAAGATGTCTTACCAAAGAAGTAGGAATATCAGTTGGGATGTTGATGATTTGGCTCCATGTGAGATCTGGAAATGTTAGAAGAAGTGGTGTATAGGAAGAAATCAAACCTACTTGCACCAAAGTTATAACTGGGATTGTAGAGACTTGTATTGGAGTTGTCAAATGCAGTTGGTGTGGTGCCTACTGGTACACGACCTTCAAACTGAAGTGGACAATCTTGCGCCTGTGCTACAGAAGCGAGAGTCAACAATGACAATCCGAGAAATGAGTGAAGCGACATGATTGATAGAGAACTTTGTAAATGAATGTAATGAGAAAGGAATGTATTGATATTTGTTAACGGGTTAAAAAGAATGGAATTGACAAAATAGTCACACAGTGATGCTTTGGATGAAAGGGTACACGGTCCGAATGGCCCATTCATATAGGTATATATATATAGTTGGTCTACTCTACGACTCCGCGAGATCCCCCATCTCATCTATTATGGTTCAATTTCATAAGACTTCGCCAAAGAAGTTGAATTTACCTTACTATTAAACTTTCCTCAAATAGATTATGGCCTGGTAAACGAAGCAATAGAGACCCTTTATTTTTGGAACGCATAACATAAACGCGCGAATTGACACAAGCAGAGCAACAAGAAACGCTTCCCAAGCACCAACCATGGCAATTGCGGTGAAAATAATGGGTATATGCCGGTTCATAAATTGAGAATCCAGAGACCAAGAGACAAGCCTGTTTCAGCAAAACTCTAATTTGACTTGTAATTTCGGATGGTTCGGTCCATGCTGCATTTGGGCAGCCTTTCATTTCAGTTTGGAGAATGTTTCAGTCTTTCAGACTGTAGAAAGTATTCCAGCGGGAATGAAATTTAACTCAAGAGCTGAAGATATGGATCTCTTCTAGAACTACTATGAGGAGTGCAACAAACAGATGATTGGATTCCAAAGGGTCCAGGGTCTGCAGATCCAGGTCTGCCGTGAATATTGTCATTTAGGAGAAATCAAAGACACAAGGAAGGAGTAGCAAATTGACATATTGCACCCAAGGGCCAATATATGAGTTTCCGAAGCGCTTTATCGGTACATCGTATCATAAGTAGAGTTGCTAAAATTGTTGTGCAGAACGATATATTGGATTGGGCACCGAACCGGAAGCCGGTGAATCTGATGATCCGAATCGTGGGGTAAATGTTAACTTTGCATTACGTAGTAGCGGGAGCTGTCTTTCGAGCTCTCAAAGTTTCCTTCATTTAATACCTACACCAAACAAACCAATATCTAGAATTCCCAGTGACTCAAAACCACCAAGTCAAGATGGCGGAAGCAATAGATAATCCAGATGTTCCCTCGAACAAGAAGGCTTTTATCCCACTAGGTGACTCCTCTCCCCCCTCCATCCTTCTCCCAAGCTAATCAAATATCTCCCTTAGAAAACAACCCCGAAGTAATGTCCTCTCTCCTCCACAAACTCGGCCTCTCCACCACTCTTTCTTTCCACGACGTATTTTCCATCGAAGATCCTTCTCTCCTCTCCTTTATCCCCCGTCCCGCACTCGCTCTATTACTCGTTTTTCCCGTCTCAAAAAGTTATGAGGCATTTCGTTATTTAGAGGATAAAGAACGCGAAGATTATACAGGAAAGGGAGAGAATGAACCAATTATTTGGTATAAACAGACTATCAGGAATGCGTGTGGATTGATTGGTCTTTTGCATGCTGTGAGCAATGGTGCTTCGAGGGGTTTTGTTGGTATGTTTATCTCTCCCTCTCCCTCTTCTCAAATCGGTCAAACGTACATGTCTGACACAAATTTTCTCTTTTGCAGAACAGGACTCTCCTCTCGACAAACTAATCAAAGATGCCATTCCTCTCGCCGCAATCGATCGCGCAGATCTCCTCTACAATTCCCAAGCCCTCGAATCCGCTCATCAAAACGCCGCAACACAAGGCCAATCCTCTACACCCAATGCTGAAGACGACATCGATTTACACTACGTGTGTTTCGTCAAAGACGAGAAGAACAATCTTTGGGAAATGGATGGAAGGAGAAGAGGACCACTTGAGTTGGGATCATTGGGAGAAGATGAAGACGTTCTGAGTGAAAAGGCGTTAGATTGGGGCGTAAGAAAGTTTTTGAAGAGAGAGGAGAAAAACGGAGCGGAGTTGAGGTTTAGCTTGATTGCGTTGGCACCAAGTCTTGACTAAGATGGGTTGGCTACGATTATGATTAGCATGAACTATTTTGAAGGGACCGGAAGAAAATATCGGCGTTGCATTACATCAAATGAGCTACATCTGGGTGTCAAAACCTTACATTCATTTTGAACGAGACTCAAAAGTTTTGACTTTAGATACCATGATATGTCTAGATTTTTAACGCGATGGCTTTATCCACGGACTAAATTCCTCATCTAACTTCTATTGACGTATATGGTGTCCCAAAATCTTTCAAGCCCGAAGCCATGCCATATAGTCCAAGCAACTCAAGCCCCTTTAATCATGATATCTCGTAGATGTAGTGGTTCTATGACCAGGAAATGCTATGAACCGTTAGTAAATTTACCAAAACCAGGAGAAAGGCCAAAACTTACTAAAGCATAATTCCGGCTCCCGTTGCCATAGCCATGAATTGTTTCAGCGTCTTCGTCAATTCAAGTCCCCTATCCTTTCCAGTCTCCAATAATTCCGGAATAACAGCTACAGTTCCCACATACAAAAATGTTCCAGCTGTAAATGGCAACAACATATCACCCCACTCCAAACTTGTACCCATGAGGCCGTCAAACCTGCCAATACCGCCTTCTTCTGTGCTTGAACCATATTCCTGAATCATGATGCCGATGACCGTCCCGAGGAGAGCTCCAAGTGCGGTTACGAATTGTGCGCCCATGGCTGCACGTTTGGAGAAACCGGATTGGATTAGGAGAGCAAAATCACCGACTTCGTGGGGAATTTCGTGGAAGAATACTGCGACTGTAGTTGTTGCGCCAATTGTTGGAGATGCATAGAAGGAAGAGGACATGGCGAGACCATCGGTGATGTTGTGAGTGAAATCAGCGCTGTCATACAATTAGCAGTGGCCTCCCTGTTTTCTTCTGCGAAGAAACGTACATGAGATTAAGATATCCAGCAAGCTTGACACTAGAGTTGATCTCCTTTTCAGTCTTCTCAACCTCAACAATTGACTTTCCGCTATCCTTCTTTCTTGATCTAGTACTTCTGGCAGGTGTATCATCCAAGTTGCTTGAAATAGCAGAAGTTTCCTTCTCGCTCTCATGACCATGACTGTGCGAGTGTTCATGGCCTTGTCCACCAGTAGCAATTCTCAGTCCTTTATCCATAGCAACAAATGTAACGAATCCAACCATAATCGCGACTCCCAACAATAAATTGCGATTTGGTTCAACCAACACGAAGCGCACATTTTCATGGGCGTCCTCGCCAAGGAAGATTTCTGGAAGAAGATGGAATAATGTATCACCCAAAAGACCACCAACTGCAAATGCTACCATTACAGAGAGAGAAGAAGGGTCGATATTCGGTGGACATAACGCGAGGAGAAAATTGGGGGGTCCAGAGATATACAGGGTTGCTAAAAGTGCATTGACAGCGGGGGTGGAGGGGAAAAGAACTGCGAATATGCGAGAAGTAAGAGTTGAAGTAATTGGAGACGTGACTTGTTTATATGCATTGAGATCTTGCACAAGAGGACATTGCTATCGAGTAAAGTTGGTTAGATGGGGCTCAGGCAGATTATCGTGAGAACTTACTTGGAGTTGTTCCTCAATTTCAGGCAAGCTCATGCTCGCAACAGATGTAGCATGGCCTTGAGCATATACGCATACAATTGCAATTGAAAGCAAAAGAGCAACACGACGGGGACTAAAGAACGACATTTTGAATTGGAAAAATGTATGTTGGAAGGAAAGGAAAGAAAGAAGGAGGGACAGCTGAGCTTTGACGGAGAGATTATCAGATTATCAGTATGTAACGATATCGGATGGCGTTTAGCGAAGTGGAGCCTACATTTTTTAAGCCTTGCAGGGTCTCTCGGCCCCGAGGGGTCAAGTGAATTTACTTTGGTGTTAGTGCATTATGATGTCAAGCATCATCTTTATTAAATTCGTTACAGAATTTGAAAAGGGGCAGACAATAAGTATCTTGAGATTTCTTGGATCTGCTCATCGGCAAGACTTTATTCTTGAGTCGATATTCCATAGAAGGAAACAAGATGTGTCACTCATTGTCAGTCAGCCACATCCAGCCAGATAGAGATGTGTCATCTCTGATTCACTAGCAGGGCGATGATCCTTCAGCAGCTGCAACTCGAGCAAGTGCAGTGTCAAGGTCAAGCAAGACTGTGCATACTTCCCTGAGCTTGAACGTCATGTTTTTGAAAGGAAACAATGATTATGTTTCCAACGCTGTTTGAAGGAGCTTACGATAGTACAATTGAGAGCTGTTCGAGAATCAATCTGTGCTGCATTTTCCTTGGGCCATGAGTTGTTGTCGTGAAGCTGGATTCACAACGCACTTCTGCTTTCTTTTGATCTTGTGCACATCAAAGCAGGGAGACAGTCTTTTGGCTGCAAGCTAATGCCTCATAAGTCATCGAATGACGAAATCTCTACATCCTCAACATGACTATGAGACTTTCCTTCCAAGTAATCTACACTCATAGAATTCTTTGGCTTCACCAGAATGGGTCACCAGTGAGCTCTACAAATTCTCATGATGTGTTCCATCCGATTGAAAGTTGATGGAAGTCCTATAAAACCACAATCTTCAGGATAATCATCTACCCCTACCATGTTTCCCCCAGAAACCAAAATGCAGAGACCTACCTAGGTAACTACAAACGATTAATCTTCTTTGGTATGAGATGAGATAAATCATTCTGATCACGTACCTAGTGAGTATTCTCGATTTGGCAAGATTCGATCAGAGATCATTACTGTCTAATCACTTTTTGAAGAATTACTGTTCCCTATCAAAAACTACCAGACGGTTCTTCTGATGGAAGTTCCAGCTCTTTCTAGACAAAGTTATCCGATATGAAGTGAAATGAAACTATTCTATGTTATCTGACCCAATCGCTTGGTCAGAATTTGACAAGGAACCACTAGAGTATACTACCTAGGTATGCGTCGAGCAACTAGCTATTTCAAGGAACTCCCATCAGAAGGCATGAGATCGTTATGGCAAAAGATCCAAAAACCAGATCCCTAAATAGCTAGTTTTCTAAGAGGAATATAAATAATCAAGATATAGTGTCTGGTGTTTTCACAATCGAAGGTCAATCTCGGTGCTAAATGCTGGATTGCTTTGACCCTATGATCTCTGGTGTACAACCATTGGAAGTTCATCCGCCTTTCTAGATGCAGATATTTAGGCGAAATTCATCCTACCTAGGTAGGTATACAGAGCAAAATCAACCCCGGGAGACTCGCCTCTGAATTTCCCAATGTACCATTCTTTCATTACTTTAATGGAGACAATATAAAGCTCTTCTTTAAGCCATGTATTTATTCTCGTCAGGTCACTACTATGTAGGTAAGTGATGATTGTGGTTTGAGGTTTCTCCCCTTTCATATCGAATAGCTCATGAGCTCTTCAATTCTAGCACTATCTTCGTCTGGACTTCTAGCAATGTATGCTTTCCGTTACAAGTACAAGCGCATGGACTAGGCCAGAAATATAATTGAATTTTGTCTGTTATGTATTATAGAGAATGGAAATCTTGGACCTTGTTACATTGCCCACAGGGACTCATAAGTCTGCATCGTTGCCGCTACAGCTAAACGTATTAATACCGACAAGTGAGAGAGCCGAGCATGGAGCCTGTGGCCATAGATCCTATGCCAGAAAATACAGAAAATTTGCTTCTCAGCCTTATCACGCATTCCGTCATTTATGTCGCAACTGCGGAAATTCTGTTAGCGTCTTGTTGCCTAACCCAATGTTGCACAGGCGTATATAGTTTGCTGGTGGTGGTGATAAATCTGGATACAGCAGAGGCTGTGCCAACAGGCTTTACAATGGCGGATGCTTTGAGCCTCTCGCATCATCTTTTGATGGTAGTACATCTGCAGGATGCCATGTTGCAGTGCTGCGAATGTAGTTGCTGTTCCAATCGCTTAATAGACTCGAGAATGTCACACACTTTTCAAAAGGTCAAAAGGTTATCCCTTGCAGCCATGGCAGATTTTCTTTCCTTCAACTGTAAATTTGTTGTTTTCTTCACAATCTTTCATTGAAATTTCATGAGATGGCGTATCTTTTATATATATTCTTCACAACTCATTGTACTAAAGGCCCATCCTATCGCTAGTACCGATTCGAATGATGTTAATATCGCAGCCTTGAAAACGACATTGCGACCGGCTGGGTTTCGGGCCCTAATGGCCGAGGAACTTGGGACCTGCTTTATAGTTGTCTTTGTACTTTACTAGCATGCGTCTACACCGCTATCCATTTGAACATACCTCCTGAAGGCGAGGGTAAAACCGCTGGGTATGGAAGAAAAGTAAAGTGGATTTTGATTGCGCTTTTCGCACCCGAGATTGTGGCTTATACTGCATTTGAACAATCATATATTTGTCACAAATTTCTCAAAAAGCTCCTTATTCAGGAAAGATAAATGTAGATAATCTGTCATACAAAATATGGTTTGGCGAAGCTAATGTTTGTATGCAGGCTGAGAATAAGTCACAAGATCCCCGGAGATCTGATCTCAAAATGTCGTACGCTCACTATGCTATGATGGGTGGATTCGCCGCAGATGTCAGCCACCTTCACAATGTTATAAAAAGGGCAACCTTTACCACAGAGGGTTATACTTTTCCTCTCAAGCATTGGCCGAAACTCCTCATGTTAAAAAAGAGGAAATTGATGATAAGAGCAAACAAGATAGCGTTGGAAAGGCTGTGGTGTGCCTACAAGGTATCTGGTGTATTGGACAAGCAATTGAAAGAAAGATAACTGGGTACCCGACCACCATGCTTGAAATACACACAGTCGTTCATGTCGTGTGTGTGCATTGGCGCTATACACAATGTGGGACAATAAGCCCTTGGACGTTGGAGTCCCAACGATGCTAGATTTCCGTGATGAAGATGAAAAGTACTTAGGGCTAGTTTGGATGTACAAATCCGCGCTGGATCCGCTGAATATTCCGCTCTTTTTGAAAGCGGATTTTGAATTTATATTTGGATATCAAATCGCGGATTCTATTAAATAATCTGTATTTCAATAAATTTAATATATTTCGAGATAGGGAGGAAATGGATTACTCTAAAATGATATTAAATAATCTGTGTTTTTCATTAAATTTGTATAAGAAAATAAGGGCGTGGATTGAAAACGAGGATTAGAAAAAGCAGTTCTTATTTTCAATTTAACAAATAATCCGTGTTTTTATAGGCTTTTATAGGTCTTTCATCTATATCCATATAGTATTATAATAATATTAGTGTTTCAAATATCTAAGTTTATAGGGTATCTTTATTTTTCTTCAAATCGTCTCTAATTTCGATTTAGATACTTTACATTTTTATTTCCTATATATTAAAATATATAGTTTAGTTTAAAAGTAGATTCTTTAATATCTTTTTATTATAGTTTTAGATTCTATTAATGATTTAGATTATAAACTGTCTTTTTCTTATTCATAATAAGCAACAATAAGGTTAATAATTCTAAATAGTTTATTCCTATTTTGATTTATAATTTAGCTATTGTTATTAGCTCTTTTTATTATACTCCAATTTCGAAAAAAAGAACTGGTATTCCTAGTAAATTTAAAACACAATCTCTTTTTGATTTAAACATTCTTAATATTATCAAAACAATTATATATATCTTTATACACTTTTCGACTTTTGATTGAGTTTTATTACAAAAAAACAAAGCTATAACATTCTCAATATACTTCAATTAATCAAAAGCTATATGTATTTCTTTATATTGTAAGCTAGCATGGAATTATATATAGTATAACTGAAGCCTTTTCTTATTCTAAAGAAACAATTTATAGATATGAAAAACACTTTATATAAATCTATTTATTAGTTTATTTTAATATACTTTAAGATGATTTTATTAAGTTTTAGATACTATAATAATATTATATCTATTAGTAATAAAGCTACTAGATTCAATTATATAATTCGCTTTTTTTCGAATAGTAAAAGATGAAAAATATTATATATATTTTGCGAATTATCTAGAAGCTCTCGATGATATCTTTATTCTAGTAACAATACCTTTCGAAAATTGATCTATTTATTTTAATCGAAAAGGGTATATTGTATAGAATATTCTTATAATAATTACTTTTAATTTACAATTTTGCTATATATTAATTGGTTAGGAAAATTCTGTGAATAATCAAAAGATACTTTCAAATACTTTGATTTCAAAAGGTTTACGAATTCCAGAAGGTTATTATTATTTAGATAATATAGAATATATAAATACTGAGTAAATTCTTATTCTATTCAAAGGAATAAAATATTATTTATAAAAGTAATTGGAATTCAATAAAATATTCAAAATATTAGAAAAGCTTTTCAATCTTCAATACTTTCTTATAAAATGAGATTAAGAGAATTTTTGGAATATTCAAAATATACTTTTCATTTTTAATATAATAATAAAAATACTTATATATAACTCAAATATGTATAGTTTATACTTTATATACTTTATATAATTTTATTTAACAAAATAATTTAAAGAAGATATATTTGAAGTTTAATTTGATTGTATTATTGATTGTATTTTAAATATTTTAAATAATATAATATAAATTCAAGTAGTAACAAATTAGATTCTATTTCGTTACAATTTATAGACTATTTTCAACAAGAAATTACAAAGATTATATAGAGAGATTATTATAAGATAAAAAGAATTCGAAAAGTGTAAGAGAAAGAAAAGCAATATTGTATTGAAATAGAATTTGATAAGTATATATAATTAAAATAGAAAGTAATTATCAGGATTTCTTTATTTACTATTATCTTTTACTATAGCTTTTAATATTTCTTTAAATTCTTTAAGAAATTAAAAAAAAATCTTCTTTTATTTTATATAATGGAATAGATTTCAAGTTTATTTATATTTTATTCTATCTTTAGGAATCTAAAATCTATATCTTTTTGGATTATAGTTTTATTAGAGATCTATTATTCTTTAGATTCAGAAAGTTTGATATTATTCTTTCTTTCTAGCTTCAAATATTAAAGCTTTAAGAAGTAAGATTTTTTCAAATAATATATTATCAATAACTGAATATTTTATAAGGAAGTTTATTAAGATACAAATATACTTTATTAATATATTAATAATTTAATATAATAATAAATAAAGAATAATAAATAAAAATGACTAGGGAGAAATAACTAATAAGAAAAAATCAAATAAACCTATTCAGATAAATCTTTCATTCATAAAAAATCCGAAGATTCTTTATCAATTTTTTTGTTTAGACTTTTTAAATTAGTTATAAACTACTCTACACTAGCTTTTCAAGTTCTAATTCAATCAAAATCTCAGAAAGTCTAATTGTCTAAACTTATATATAGTATTTATAAAATCAATAAACAGTATACCTTTATATTTGTTTTAATTCTTGATTGATATTCAAATCTTTCAAATCAATTTTTTCAAGCTTTTTAACTTTATTATTTTTTCTTTATTATCAAATTCTTCTTTTTCTTTTTTTTTTCTTATCAATATCGATTTTTCAATTTTCAAAATCTATTTCGAAATTATTTAATTCAAATTCTGATACAAAGTTATCATTATTTTGAATAAGGTTTTTTATTTTTAATACTTTTTAAATAAAATTAATTAAAATCAGATTTTCATTTAAATCTATATACTAGGATTATTGTATTTCGATATTCAATCAAATTTATATAATTATTTTATCTTATTTATTCTTTAATACCTTTAAAAAATCAGAAGTTTTGTAAAGCATTTTCAAAGTATAGAAAATCTAATACTTTTTCCTATCTTTCTCTTTTCGACTTCTAATTCTTTAAATATTATTCTTACCTTTCGATTACATATATTTCTAGCTTTTTTGCTTTTACGAATATTCTTTTTACTTTCTCTATAGCTTTTTCTTATTAGATTTAATTATTATTAATATCTTTTTGATTTTTTAAAGCTTAGAAAAGATTCAATATTATAAATATAATGCTTATTATTATTATTATTATTATTATTATTTCTAAAAGCGCATTGTTTGTATTATTTGTAATATTTTCATATTCGGAATAACTATATTTTATGAGAAATAAATAATATAATTAGCTGAATTATATGATATATAATATATTAATTTATAAATATATATTTCTAAATATTTAATTTTTCAATGCTTATTCCTTTCGCCCCTATTCTTGAAGCTTTTTAGGTATACACCTTTGAATATTTGAAACCTTTTCTACAATAGACTGAAATGATTTAAATCTAGATCTTGAAAGTGCTATATTCCAGGAAATCCTATAGCTATAATATAAATTACAAATGTATTATATAGAGAAGCTATATTATGTATTAATATTGAAAAGAGATTAATGAATAAATAAGAATTAGGTGTAAATGGAAGGTTATCTTTTTTTAAAAATAAGAGTATAAAGAAAGTTTCGAAAGTAAAGGTTTAAAGTGTAAGAAAGTAGTTTAAAAAAGGAAAAGCAGAAGTTGTTAAAAGAGCTTATTGATGGAAAGTGGGGAGTACGTAAATCTTTCTTGATTTCTAAGCTTTTTTTTTATTAATTGAATATAGCAATTGTATTATAAGAAATTAAAAAATATTAAAAATCAATTGAATTGTTTTGAAAAAAGCTCTTTTTCAATATTTAATTAAAGAGGTTTTGGATCAATTTATATTTAATGGAAAGTGTTGGAGATGGAATACTATTGTTTTTATAGTAATTCAAGAGACAGTTGAATCCTTTATAATTATTCATTTTGAGAGTGTGTTTTCTATTCTTTTTATTTATTAATTGAATAGATTATTGATTTAATTTATAATACTATAATATTGTATATTTCATACAAAAAGGCAAACTATTAAAGATATAGATAGCATTTTTCTTCAAAGAATAATGAAATTAGCAATCTTTATTATTAATGAATATTATATCTTGAAAGGCTAAACTTTATAGTTTTCTCACTAATCATTTCTTACTAGTTGTTTCTCACTAGCCGTTTCTTATCAGCCGTTTCTCATTTGCTATTTCTTATTAGCCAGTTATTACATACTTATATTCTTTATTTCATATATCTAGGACTAATGAATAAATGTTATTCATACTCATATATTATTAATATTAAATAAGATAAAGGTATTAAAAGATATAATATTAATATTTAATTGAATAAATACAAAGATTATATTAATAAAAACATACAATAAAAAAACAGAGTAAATAAAACTACTAAATCAAAAGCTATTAGAATTTGAAAGCCACCCTTCATTAAAGCTTGTTATAAAGGAGTGGATAATAGAGGCATTTCATTATTTTCCTTTTTGTATTGCTTTTTAAATTCTCTACAAATCTTATCCATAAACTCTATTTGAAATGGATCTATATATATAAATATCAATAACTCACTATAAGATTA